TAAAGTAATAAAGAATTATATCTAAATAGATAACACTCTACTATTTAAAGTTAAAAGTTAGAATAAATAATATAATATATAAATACTTAATACTTTATTATATTTAATAAACTTTGTTATATAAAGAGAAAAAGAAGAAAAGAAATAAAAATAAGAAATTANTAAATACTTTTAATAATACTTGGAGAATAAATATAACTATTCTAGTCTTTATAATTTAGTAACTAAATTACTTATTATTATTAAGCGCTATACTAGCTCTTTATACTACTCTATATAGAGTATTAGTAGATTACTAATTACTTATACTTTTTTAGTTATTATAACTTAGTAATATAGAGCTAAGGTTCTAATTATTATTAACTTAGAGAGATAATTTATAAGATATATTTAACTAACTTAATAAATAGTCTTATAGTAATAAAGATATAGATTTATAATACTATTCTAAAATAGATTATATCCTTATTAAATAAGCAGTTATTTATTTAGATAGAAATATAAAATATACTATTATAGTTATTAAGTATATACTAAAAGCTATTTATTTAACTACTTAGTAATTAGCTAATATATTCTATTATGTATATTTTATACAAAATCTTAGTAATAATATACTATTATACATTTAGATTTTATATACTTTAATTAATAACTATAGTAATACGACTATAAATCTTATAACTAGTAAAAGTTTATTATATAGTATACATTATTACTTAGTAGATAATTAATAACCTTACTTATTTCTTCTTAGTTACTCTTCTACTATAGTATTACTTACTTAGTAATAAATTATATTAAGTTATCTTCTATAATATCTATTATAGAGGTTTTAATAAAGCGTATCTATAGCTTAGTGTATAGAAAGAGATATAAGGTTACCTTAAGCTAAGTTTATATAGAATAGATGCGTTCTACGAAACTAACTAAGCGCTACGTAATTTACTTAGATACTATTTAAACCTTCTTTCCTTATAGCCGCCCTAGTTTAGCCTACCACTACATACTTACTAGCGATATAACAGGCTGTATTTAGTAGGCTGCGTAGACCTACTACGCTAGCGACATTAACTATAGAGCCACTATCTACTAGCCCGCTGAATGCAAGCTGTGCGCGAAGGCTATAGAAGACGCCCTTGCCATTTACATCTATAGTAAAGTCCCAGTCTCCATCAAAGGAGTCGCGGAGTGGCTTTAAACCTTTACTCACTCCCGCCACATCGGCCGCGCCCGACAAAGGACCTAGCTTCTGTACTGTGTCTTTGATCCATTCGTTAACCGCTGGCGAGGAAGTCACGTTAAGATACGTAGCAAAGTGGCTGCGAGTTGAGTCCTTGCTTGGCTGGAGTGAAGCGAGTGTTTCATCAAGAGCTTCCTTATTCAGGTCGGCGATAGAAACTATAGCGCCTCGGGATGCAAGAACCTGGGCGGTGGCTCGGCCAATGCCTGTGCCAGCGCCAGTGATAGCGATCTGCCGTATTGAGTGTCTTGTCCAGTTTCTGGGAAAAAAGAAGACTCACAACTTTGCCCTCAAGAGAAGCCATGATGACAGAAGGAATGGGTGGGAGATTGATATGGCCAACAAGGATACCAGTAATTTTAAACAAAATTGATGACTAGTTTCATTCAGCAGCGTGTGTTCGCTTTGGGGCAAAACACCTACCTACAGCCGCTATATGATGGGTTGGACCGCATATTTTGAACGTAGCCGCGGGGTGCCGAGGTCTTGTATCATGTCTGCGACCGTATTATGCCCAGCTGCTCTACATTATTTTGGACCCACAAATCCCCAGAATAAGCACAGCCTGACAACACCTATCAAGACACTCGCAAAGATCACAGAACTTGAATAATGACTTTCTTAACGCCAGGACCGGGCATTCTTTGGTACAGAGCTCTTTCGACACCCTGTCGTGATCAATGGAAGGGCATGATACGTTTCCAGCCATGGTGTACATGGACCGTGGTGTTCGCGTGGGACCACCGGCATCATTCCGCCAGTGCCGAAAATGAAACGCGGCCGAGTAAATGTCCGCATCGTCTAATGGTGCGCATCCCCCATTTCCTAAACGACCCTAGCTCCAAGTAATTACAAGTACCTAATATAGCTAGAGAGAGACAGGAGGGGGATGGAAATGACTAGTGAACATTGACTCCATAAAATCCTGAAGAGTAGCAGTCCTTAATGAAACGACCGACGCAATCGTCATGCTAATGTGGAAGGCTCCTGACTGCTCCCCCAAGGCGTCAAGGGTGATACAAAAAGTGCGCTATATACACGACATGTTGCAAGTCAACGCTGCATCTGAGAGTATGGCAGAGCATGTAGTGAAGTATCATGCCAATGATTCTAAGGCAAATGCCACAGCCATGTACGCGAAATGAAGCCAATGAGTGTGCAGTAAAAGGTTTTCCCTACCTTATTAATTCGGCGTGGTAGGTGCACCTTTGTATCCTCAACTAGTCACGAGACCCAGCCACCGAGGCGTACATCCTTCAATTCAAGGAAAGATCCAAATCATAGGTCGAATTGAATGATGCTCGCTGTCAAGGACGCCGACATCTTTTGCGGCCCAAACTAGAAGCCGATAATGGTCTTTGTTCCATTTGTGAATGTGGTAAAAGCCCTCTTAGCGGTGTTTACTCATGACTCTGAAACATACTCTAAAAGATCACACGACATCCAGCATAGTGATTAGACTGGCACTAACAGTCGCGTTGTTCTACAGAATGATCCAGACGTGGTGTTCTTCTGCAATGTAATAATGTCCGTACCATATCCATTCCAAACGACGGACCAACCGGAACACTGTCAGGGGTATTCGCTCGGCATTCTTACTCACCAAGTCGCTCTCACTTCATGTTCAATAAGCCTGAATATGATAAGCTAATCATGTGGTTTCGCCATTGTGTACGTCTTCTAGGTGTAACCCTTGGAACTCTTACTCTAGTATTTTCATGGCTCCAATCTACACGGCGGCTTATGTGCGAGGTCAGACGTTCTTTTGGTATCAACAAGTCATTTATTGTGGAATTTCGGGAGGCTGATGATGGAGATCAGTAAACCAAGGTGATGCATTGTAATCTCGTCTTGGTTAGAGAGAAGTGGTTGGTAAGCGTTTAGTATAGGAAGTAGCGCGATCATTGACTAGCAAGAAGTTACGGGGATACGTATCATCAAGCTATCAATAAAAAGCATGAAATATGTCCCACTGCCCAGATATCATCACCATGACTGCGATTGTACTGATCTTCTATGCCACAGAGGCTATGATACACAAGCATGACTCACCATTGCGAAAAGCCTGGTTGCGAGAGCTCAGTAGACCTCATACCTCAAATTCACGCCTTATTTCGTACTTTCCTAGTCTATCTTTGCGTTCGTCACCTCTCAGCTCCGTTACGGTGATTGGGTGCGCCAAGAAAGCTGCTATTTTCTCGCCCCCACCCAAGCTCCTGTTTAAATTTAGCCTGTTCCTCAGTTCTAGGCGATCAACAACCCAGTCTCCGTTTTGGGACATGAAGGCAATGAGGCTAACCATCGAACATCGAAAAGGGTAATGAGGGATGATAACCCCCACATCTACGGTGACACGTTTTACAGGCGTATCAAGGCCCTTTGGGAAGGAGGAAGACTGAATGCTTGCCTTGGAAGAAGCGACTGGACACAGAAGGGTACATTAGGCTTGTGAAAACTATTCGACGTATTTTGCGGCGGTGTCAAAGTTGTCCACAGCTCCTCCATCTTGCGTCGGTTTAGTCAGATTTAGACAGAAGGCTGTGTAATCAACGACATCACGACTTGAACAGTCTTGAAAAATCAAGAGGTCGACGGAAATGATCGAAATACTTGTATCGGAGGCAATCGCTGCATTGACGGTGCTTTACACTCTGTATCGATACCTTTTACCGAAGCCCATTACGGGAATCCCTTACAACAAAGAAGCCACACGGTCGCTATTGGGCGACGTTTCCACCATCCAGAAAGATTCACCTGGAAATATCTTCGGCTGGATCATCAATCAGTCTCGTCGTCATGGGCTGATCTTCCAACTCTGGCTAGGCCCAAGCCAGAAGCCAACCGTCATCATCACAGACTTTCGTGAAGCACAAGATATCCTCATGCGCCGGAAATAATTTGAACGCGCTTCGATATCTGGGAACGCTTCAGGCGGCGAGGCGCGATCCTTTCATATTACGGTGACGACAGGTTCACAATGGAAGGCCCGGCGTCGTTTACTCCAGGATCTGATAGCACTCAAATTCCTCAACAATGTCGCAGCCCCAAATATTTATAGAAGCGCAACCCTGCTACTCGATCTCTGGAAGAAGAAAGCAGAGCTTGCCGACGGAAAGCCTTTTCTAGTAGAGCACGACCTCTTCTTCGCCGCCCTCGATGCAGTAGTGGATTTCGGATTTGGCAATGCGACAAAAATAAGGGCTCTCATCCCCTAGATCGATGAGATCAAATCTCTAGCCAATTCTGACTCTCGAGTTTTGCAGCTGCGACAAGCCGCAACGGATGATAAAGCTGTCGACTTTCCTATTGCCGCCGTCCACCCTGCGCTGGAGGCTGTGTTGCATACTATAGATAATGTGGAGGTGGTGATTGCAACTGGGTTCCCGAAGCTTGCATGGTTTATCATTGGACTCCTTCCACATATCCGCCGTAGACGGGCAGTACGAAACGAGTTGGTTATAAACCAGGTTTTGCACGCAATAGATCGATTCAACACCCTTGGCAAGCAACACGACGAAGATACGCATGTCAAATCAGCAGTAGATTTCATGGTTTCAAGGCAAGTTGGCCTTGCACAGAAAGACAGCACTCTTGCTTCAAATTGGCTAGAGGCTATGAGAGATGAGGTGGAGTGCTCTTTAAATCAAGGTCTCCGACTACCAATCTGCTAACCTTTGCACTCAGGTCATTGGATTTATTGTCGCTGGTCATGACACAACGAGCACGACGATGTGCTGAAATCTCAAGTTCATATCAGACAACCTAGATGTTCGAGAAAAACTTCTCAAAAGCCTTCGCATTGCCCATACAGCTGCTGTCACCGAGCATCGCCTCCCCACTCGCAGCGAGATATGTGACACAAGCATCCCCTATCTGGACGCTGTTATCGAGGAGTCGCTGCGTCTCAGCCACACCGGAATCTTTCAGGATCGGGAAAGCACAGAGGATATTCTTATCCTAGGCTACTATATTCCGAAAGGTACTCATATCATGATGACAAACAAAGGTCCTAGCTTCACGGAGCCAGCACTGGATATTGAAGAAGGTATCCGCAGCCCGACATGTCAAGCGGCAGCCCAAGAACATGGATTCCGAGCCTGGGATGGGGAGGGAATGGACAAGTACAATCCTGAGCGTTGGCTTGTGCTGGATGATAATGGCAGAATGAAGTTTAATTCGACAGCAGGACCAGCTCTCCCATTTGGCCTCGGCCTTCGAGGATGTTTTGGAAGAAAGCTGGCGTATCTGGAGCTCAAAATGTTGACCACTCTTTTGGTTTGGACTTTTGAGCTTCAAACGTCACCGGAGGCTTTGTCAAGCTACGAGAGCTTAGAAGGTCTTACGCGCAAACCTTCACAGTGTTATGCACGTGTAAAAGTCCGTTCATGAGCATAGTTCGCAGCTCAATGCGGAATTCAAACGCAGATCAATAAGTGGTTTTCCTTCAAGACAAACTTCAATGCTGAACTAGCCCGGTGAAAGGGATTGCGCATGTCCTTGAAATGTGTATTGGCGCTCTTTCACGATCACTTCTTCTTATTGAATTAGACATACCATGTTGTTGGCCGTAAAATATTGTATTCATCTCTATGCATCCTACTTTGCTATCATGTTTCCCTGCTCCATCTGTTATACGGTACCACTTTATTCTTATACTAGTTTTCTATATCCTTTCCTAATGGATATAAAAGTACAATAGTAAGTAGCAAAGCTCGTCTCTACAATTTGGTACTATTAGAGGCATTCCGTGAGTAGGTAGATTGGAAAATCAACACCGAGTTAATGCCGATGCATCAGCGATGATTACGTACTAGTGCAGAGTTATCTGATGAAATTTATCTTTCCCCGCCATAGATCCGAGACTGCACCACTACGGCTTACTGTCCTGCAACGCGTTCTTTCTCGCGCATTCCTGCCTAGCTGAACTCTGATTTCGCTCTGATGAATGTAACGTATGCTTTCTATTCGGGACATGACTGTCCTTTGTCTTGCGAAACGACGATCAACTACGTGACCTTTAACGATAGCAACCCTCTACTGCCTTGGAAAGTCGACGCGTGTCGCAGCGACTTGCGCATTACGTCTCTGTATCTATGCTTCGATGAATTCTGCCAACGAGATGGCGCAATCGCGAGTTGGATAGAGACTCAAAGTCTCTGGTGCTCCCAAAATGCAAACGTCACATTGCCTTCCCTGCAACACGTTTTGGATCAATGGTCATCAGAGGCGAAGAACAAGGTGGAAAGATTATCTGCCACCGACGCCCTCAAGTTCCCATCGCTAAACCACCTGGTGATACCTGAACATGACCTCTTTAAGCGAGCATATACCACTGTGGTACTGTATCCATCCGCCAGAGCGAAGAGGGCCGTGTAATGCTGATGCGTTTGTAACATAGGAAACTGCTAACTGGGAGTACAAGATACATCTTGTATACGGGTAAATTATCCAGCTAACATCCCACGTACGGTCGCTGACACGAGTCTCCAGGTGGTGCATGTACTACTTTTGGATCATAGTAGTCCTTATTGGCGTCGCAAATCATCTCTTATCGTTTGTCTACAAGCGCCGACGTACGGAAACGCCATACTTGAGGCTTCCCGCTATCCAAGAGAACTCTACTCGAAACCTGCGCACTGTTTCTGCTTTTATTGTATCCTGGTTGCGGCGCAATCTCACCATACCAGCTGCATTTGGCAACCGCTGCGCGCGGCCCTATGGCTGGTGCACCATACCTCCTCGAATCCAATCGCTTACCATTTTTCTGTTTGTTGTATTCAATATAGCAGTTTGCAGCTGCTCTTATCGACTTACTGAAGGGAATCTCTACTGGCCAGAGAAGTCTGCACAGCTACTCCGTTTCGTGTCGGATCGAACTGGCATCATATCTCTTGCCAATTTCCCTTTGGTTTGGCTATTTGGGATGCGCAATGACTTCCTCATTTGGATAACTGGGTGGGGATTTGGAACTTACAATGTGTTCCATAGATGGGTCGCAAGAGTCGCAACTATACAGGCCGTATTGCACAGTGTAGGGTACACGGTGATGATCCTGGCGAGTGGAGGTTGGCCGAGCTTCTCGCAGTACTGGAAAGAACACTACTTTTGGAATGGCGAAATCGCAACCATTGCAATGTGTACCCTCCTCGTTCTTTCGATATATGCCATTCGCCGCCGACACTACGATTTCTTCCTGGTCACGCACATTGCGCTTTCTGTCGCAGTATTGTGGACCATGTATTACCACGTCGAGCTATTCACTGCCGGAGAGTGGAACATATTTATATGGCCTTGCGCTGCACTTTGGATCCTCGACCGCGCTTTGCGTCTTACCCGGATCTTCGCGTTCAACCGTAGACCGCTTAGTACCAACGCCAAAGCGACTTATGATGTAAACAGCAATCTCGTACGTCTAGATGTGGACGGCAGCAAGAGTTTGTTAGCTCCTCGATCAGGATCCTACTATTATATCCATGTTCTTGATGACCTACGATATGCCCATCAGAGTCATCCATTCACACTGGCTTTCGTTTCACCTGACGCAACATCGTCAGCGATTACACCTCTAGCGCCCCTATCGCCTAGCCCTGATAACACAGAAGATCTACTAGGTTCCTCAACTGAGTCGGATACACTCTTGTCAAACAAGGCGCCAAAAGCTTTGTCTAATCTGGTGTTCCTGATCCGGCCTTACAACGGGCTCACTTCTCGATTGAGATCAAGTTGCCTGTTGCATCCAAGAAAGACCCGGGTTCTTGTCGATGGGCCGTACGGTCAAGTTGTCCCTCTGCATACCTTTGCGAATGTATTGTTCATAGTCGGGGGTACAGGGGTGGCGATACCGCTATCACATCTTAGTGGACTTGTCACCGGTTCATCACAGGTCCTGCACATAAAGATAGTATGGGCAGTTCGTGAACGCGCGTTTCTCACCACACTACTCCGTGAGTTCCATGGCGTATTGGGTAACGAGAAGGTTGATATGGAGGTACATATCACGAGGGATGTTGACCATGACGATGAAGTCCTTGACAAAGACCTCAAGAACGTCAGGATCGCAACCCAAAGACCCAACGTGTATCAGGTTGTGAAGGAAGCAGCAGAGAATGCACGTCGGGGATCACTAGCGGTTGTTTGTTGTGGACCAGCACTTATGGCTGATCAAGCAAGGAGGGCTAGTGTACATATGTTAGGCATGGGCCATAGGGGCATAGAGTACTTTGAAGAAAACTTCAAATGGTAGAAAATCCCGTGTCTAAACGGCGGCATACTCTTTGGACAAGACCTCGTGTTAAACTTCGTTCTCTTTCAGGGAAACATACCACTGCGCTACTTGCTTGATGCTCTCGTTTAATCCCCTGATGCTGTCGCCTTGAAGGAGTAACTTTTCAGTCAGCCTCGAGTCGGCGCGAAACGGCATGTTGACGGGTACTTTGTCTCGCCCAACCTTGAACAACCCTGATTTTACCTGGCTTGGGAAGTCTTCCTCAACCATATCTACAGCTGTATTCCAGATCTGCTCGCCATCCAAACCCTCTTGCACTGTCCCGGCAGCAATAAACCACTTGGGAAGATGTTTGCTTTCCACCTTGACTTCATCCAAAGCCTCGATGTGTACCTTTGCACAGTCTTGCACGTGCACGAATCCAAACGCATATCGCGGAGCCACGCTGTCAAAAAGAAGAGCTTTACTTTGCCGATCAAGGTGAGCATAAGCTTCAACAGGGGTGCGACAGAACTCGGAAGGGCCAATGACCGTCCCTGGAATCACTTGAGCAATGGAGAAGGGAAGCTTTCCACTGGCCTGGAGATCCGCAAGGAATGCCATGCATTGAGCTTTTCCAGCGCAGTATGCGTGGTGGGGTGATTCCAGCGGCGGTCTGTACTTGACCGAAGTCGGTGACACCTGTACATGCTCTGAACTGCTCAGTGAGAGAACGATTGGTGAAGATAGGCACAGGGAGGGATTTACCATCCATTGTATGATGCATACGTGTGCCCAGCGTGTCCCCATCAGCTGCATCAACCAAACCTGCACCGGCTTGAGTGAAGACAATTCTCCTCACTGTAATAGATTTTTGTGCGGCCTTGATCAAGCCCTTGGTTGAGTTGATGAAGGGGCTGTAAATGTCCGTGTCGGGATGCAGATGCGGCAGCGGCCATACACCAGCTACATGCACAACGTAATTCGCACCAGCGACGGCTTCGTCATATGCGCCATCGACTGCATTGTCTAGAACAATGCAGAATTCAAGAAGGCTGAGGTAAGGTTGAACAGAAGGCCCAGATTTGATAGTTTCAATGGCTGATGAACGGCGTACAACGCAACGCACGCGATAGCCTGTTTGAAGGGCATATACGACGCAAGCGTAGCCTATAGTTCCATTCGCGCCTGTTATCTGCAAACCACGTCAGCTATGCAAAGTTCATAGAGCGTATCGAAGAGAGCGATATACGGCAACAAGGCCACGGTCGCCATCCAACATGTTGATGCCTTGAATTTGCTGCCTTTGGTTGGCGCAACTGCAAAAATGATTGGCTCCGTAATGTAATGAATGCTTTTCCTGGTGAAATTGATTTTGAAGCAGTACTGACTCTTTTCGTGGTATGTAGAATAATCTGTGGGGCTACAGTGTCTAAATCTTCTTGCCGTTAGAGAATAATTTTTAGGCTAGTAGCGTCATATGTAGCACGTACATACATGTGGGGCTGATTACGAGCACATAGCACTACCGCGATGGATGATGTTAAGCCGAGGCCGTCGGCGATGCTAACCGGTGCTGGATAAATCGGCAACCTTGATCTCCCGATTGTGTTCCAATGGGGGTTATAGTGGGTTGGAAACTGGGTCTTTTTTTGGCGCTCCCCACGTTCTCGCCTAAACTGCCGACAGACAGTAGGGAAATGCTCTCGGAGTACCTTGTTGATTTTCAAGCGTATTAGATGCAAGATGATAGTACATAGCTGCACTTCAGAATACTTTCTCGATTTTGGAGTTTCAAACGGCAAACTGGAGGCATGAGTTTCATATAGCTCTTCGAGTGCCGTAAGAATATAGTCACACACAGACGCGTGATGGGATATATTCCTTGGCGGTATATCTATACTGATACAGGACTATGTAGGAGTTATTCAATTTATTCTCATTCAATAAATCAGCGCTAGTATCGATGCACACGGATGGAACACATTACCAAGATTCCCTTGGCGGATTAGACGCATTCAGCTGCTAACAACGCATGCCATGGCTCTGTGGCCGGCACCAGCTCGACTTTCGGGAACAAAGACTCTGGACTTGATAGGGATCGTACCGGAGTAGTATCATGCTACCGCATCGATATAGTAGTATTATTAGGTACTATGCACCCGAAACAGTGGGTGAAGGGAGG